ATTGATTGATTGTTTGTATTTGGCATTATTTCGAATATTGAAATGACGAAGGCAATTTGTTCTGCTATCTAAACACTTTACCCTTTGTTCCCCTTTTTGAGCCTTATTTATTTCTTTCCTACCCCTCTTTTGGAATCAATAACGAAAAAGAGAGAAAAGAAATAAAAGAAAAAAAGAGAAAAGAAAAGAAGTGAAAAAAGGGTATAACAACAAGGAAATTCAGGCGTGAACTACGTTTGACCTGATTTCTGTTAAGGATACGTAGGCAGTCTCACGGCTCGGTCATAGTAAACTAAAAAGTCAAAAGATCTCCAAGCTAGAAACTGGGGCAGAAGTTGTGATTGTAATAAGAAATGTGATTCCAAAAGTTGTAATTCTAACCCAGTTGAAGTTGTTTTGAGCCCGTTTTATACCCTTTTCTTTCCAAACATATCCAAGAACCCACATTGCTGTCCAAAGAAAGACCTCCCGATCAGTCTTCGAGATATGCCATGTCAAGCAATATAAAGAGAATTCATATCAGGGGCAACGATCCAGTTTAAGCAAGAGAAATCAAAAATGAGAGAGTCTTATTGGTGAAAACCCTCATGGGCACCATGAGGTGACGAAAGCCGAGAGAAAATAAAAAATGATAGAGTCTTATTGGTGAAAACCCTCATGGGCACCATGAGGTGACGAAAGCCGAGAGAAAATAAAAAATGATAGACTCTTATTGGTGAAAACCTTCACAGGCACCATGAGGCGACAATGAATCAAGGAATGAACAAATGAGAGAGGTTTGTCGGTGAAAACCCTTTAGGGCACTGCAAGTCGAACAAGGTCTGTAAGTTGGCGGAAAGTAAATGGGGTTATGGAGATCTTGGAGCACAAAGTAAAATAATTGGAAAAGAGATTGGTTAAATAGACTGTGTTGATTATCCAAAATGCATACCATAATCATTGGTGCCAGTGAATCCACTCAGATAAGTTTCTTTTCCTATCTCCAACAGTCATCCAAATTTGGATTTTCTTCTTTATTCTTAATTCTCAAAATCATTGCATTTCATTGTTGTTAATTTTACTCCTCTAAAGCTCTTCCAAGGTTAGCCTTGTTTCAACAAATAAGAAGGAATGTCAAAGTGTACTACCAGATTCAAAATTGCACAAAGCAAAATACGGCTAGGACATGCTGGAGATAGTATGATGAAAAGTGGGACATAGGGTGTAAGCAAAGGTTAAATCGGTGGAATGGTTCAGTAATGTCATGGGAGATGTATGGTTACAAATAAAACGATCAGAAGTGAAAAAACAACAGTTGGGGATCCTACAGTTAAGGATCAGTTGGGAGGTCAAAACAATTCTCGACCAGTTCAAGGCAGTCGGTCAAAGCAAAGCATGGCAAAGAGAAAACCATCCCCAACAATAATGCCACAACTAACCACCACGTTTTAAACTGACAAGATTTTTCTTTGATTTGAAACAGGGACAAAGATGACATTTATTTTAGAAAATCATCCGTAAGGAGAACAAGTACCATGCAAGTTTGATTGCAGAATTTTTAGGACCCTCCTGAAAAATGGGACCTAGTTTAAAAATCGAAACAATCGTAAATAGCAAAATCTAGCATAAATGTACCCCAAAAGAATATAAGTTGGTTTCAAAGTTTGCATGTTTAAGATAGGATTCAATTAGGAGTTCTCAGGACCCTCCTAGATAATGGGACTTAGCTTTAATTCTAAATATTCATGAGTACTGATAATAGGTGAATTTAACTATATTCAGGCCCTAAATAACCGTCTTCTTGCATAGTTTTGATAATAAAAGTGATAACAAAATGCTCTTATTAGTGCTTTTCATGACTTGCAGGTTATATATGACTAGGGAAGGCTAGGTAGTACTTTTGGAGTCAAACATTGAAGAAAGAGAGGCCATCCGTGAAATATCCCAAGTGAACCACGCAAAAACTGGCTGAAGAATCAGAGAAATGATTCTGCCGCGGTTCCACCGCGACCGCGACAGAACCGCGGTGAAGTCTGCTCGCGGACAGAAGGAGATTCAAAGGAGATGTTTGGCTGCGGTTCCACCGTGACCGCGGTAGAACCGTGGCAGGCACGAGAAAGTACAAGAACTAAAGTGCAAAACACGGGATTTTTAGCCCAAAACCCTATTTTAAACATTAGACTTCGCCAAAAGGAGGCATGTATTGATTTTTAGAGTTTCTTAGCAAGGAAAACCATTGTGAGAGATCATCCAAAATATCTTTCTTCTTTTCTTTGATTTTTATTGCTAGTTTATGATGAATCTTATCTTAGTTTGTTTACCCATAGTTATAAGTAGCTAAATCCTTTGTCTAAGGTTTTGATGGAACCTATTGGGGGAACTTCTTGTTTATGTGAATACAAATTGCTAGTTTCAATATTTATTTGTTCAACTATGTTCTTTCTATAGTTAATTGACAGGATCCTCAATTAGTTGTGCCTATTTAGTGTGCATAACTCGGGAGAGAGTGCATATTTAGGTTATTGTTGAACAACACTACTCCCAAAGTATAAGAGGGATCTATAACTGTGGGTTTAAAGGCGGGATTAGGTATAACGAAGCCTTGAGTGCAATCTGAAGTGAACTGTGTTAATTAAAGCTAGCTAGTGTATCTCGGGAGAGTGCATTGAGTATATTACCGTGATTACTCAGGAGAGATTTGCGGTAAGATGAGCGTTCATGATTGATAGAGGTGTGTTGGTAAATTTGTATGAAGCATAAACAGAAGGGATTCCATCATTAGGGGAAGTCATTACCTTAGCGTTTTCTCATTATTGTTTACAACCTTAGCATCCTTAATTTGCAGTTGTTTATTTACTTGCAATTTTAGTTATTAAAGACACCATCAACTGTGATTCAACGTTTGGGAAATTGGTTCTCAAGAGTTTAGTGGGTCTAAAGATAGTGATTGATAGGTTAACTCTCTATGGATTCGACCCTGGGCGTAATACTCGGGTTATATTTGCAACGTCCGTAGAGTCCTTTTTAGAGGGCATAGTTGGGCATGATCAAATTTTGGCTCCGTTGACGGGGACTTAATAGAATTATCAATTACCATAGATAGAAATACAAAAATTCTTAGGGAAGTCAGTTTACTTTACACCAAATTTTTGATTGAATTTTTTGACGGTTGTTGACGTGGTTGCTCAAGTGTATGCCGAGAAACTCTACGAGGACTGGAGAACTACTTGAAGGACTCTCAGACCCTGAGAATACATTCCGGATATTGAACCGTACCAACAAAAGACTTCAACAACCTCATCAAACACACAAACTCGAAATTGACATGGGTGACGCAGACAACGCCGACGGAAACATTAGAGATATGGCACCTCCTGTGCCTGAGGCTTCACTATATGACTGGGCACAACCCACAGCTGACAATCTGGCCACTGCCACTATTGTGCCCGCGATACAAGCTGAATCTTTCCAGATCACGAACAACATGTTGCACTTGTTGCAAAATAAGGGACTATTTTTTGGGACACCAGCCGAAGATCCTCAGTAGCACTTGAAGAACTTCCTGTCGATTTGCAAAACTCAAAGGCAACCCAACGTAACTCTGGAAGCAATCAGGTTGCTATTATTTCCATTCTCGATGACAGAAGCTGCTCAAGTCTGGCTAAACTCACTCCCCATAAACTCTATATAAACTTGGGATGAGTTAGTCAAGCAATTTCATATCAAGTTCCACCCGCCCAACAAAACAGCTCAACAAATTGATGAGATCATGAGTTTTAAACAGAAACCAATGGAGACACTGCATGAGACATGGAGCCGGTTTAAAGGAATGTTGGTTATATGTCCACACCATGGTATTCCAGATCAGATGTTGGGACAACGGTTTTACATAGGACTGTCAGATAGCATGAAGAATATTGTAGATGCCTCAGCTGGTGGGGCATTTTTGAGCAAAACTTGGAGAGAAGGTCAGAGTCTGCTTGACAAAATGGCTCAAAATTCGGGGTGGACGACGAGGAATGCACCCATCACTCCAGTGGTTCACTCAGTGCCTTTTGACCCATCAAATTCTATGGCTAAAAATGTGGCGACGCTCTTCACACAGATAAGCATACTCACCAAAAAGGTGGAGGAATCAGGGGCAGAAACAACAAGTGCACATTGTAGATACTACCAATGGGGGCTTGTGCACATCTTGCATCAGTCAGCCAATGGGTAATCCTTGGAATGCAGAACATGATCATCATCAGCAGCACCCTGAAAATATGAACTATGTGTCAAACTATGGAGGCCATAGACATGGCAATCAGAACTGGGGTCAGCAAACTCAGCAGCCATACAGACCACCTTAGCCACAATACAACGCTGGAAACATGGGAGGTATGAGACCCCCCAACAATATGGCACCTTATCCAAGGTCACAGAGGTACAACAATCAACAGCAAGGGTATCCCCCACCTCAGCAACAGCAGGGTGGAAGGCAAGAAGAAGGGTTCACTAGACTTGAAGCAATGATGCAGCAGGTTATTGGATCCAATGCAAAAGTAAATGAAAGAGTAGATGCACATGACACAACAATCAAAAATATTGAAATGCAATTGGGCCAAATTTCAATGTCTCTAAACATTCGTCCTCAGGGGACGCTACCTGCAGATACCCAAATCAATCCTAAAGATCAGGGCCCGAAGCAGCTGATGGCGGTGAGTCTCTGTAATGGCAGGGATCTTAATGTAGAGTAGGAGAGAGCTCGTGACAATATACAGGCTGAGACACTCATTCAGGTACCCATTGAGCTAGATGATTCCACAAGGCAGACAGATGTGACAATCCAGCCTGCTCAGGAAGAAAAGAATACTTAGCAGGAGACCGAGAAAGTTGCTGAATTAGTTGAAGAACCGGTAGTAGAGATAGTAGCTGAGAAAGAAAAGTCCCAAGTGATTGGGAAGAAAAGACATCCTGCTCCATTTCCACAGAGGTTGGCCAAGCATCAAAAAGAGGAGTAGTACAAAAAGTTCTTTGAGATGCTCAAGCAAATTCAGGTTAATATTCCATTGATTGAAGCTTTAAAGGAGATGCTTGGATACGCAAAAATGATGAAAGACTTAATGTCCCGGAAATTTGACTTCCAAGACTTGGCCACGGTGACACTTACTCAAACGTGTAGTGTAGTGGTAACTAGACCTGTTGCTAAAAAGCTCTCTGATCCAGGGAGTTTTACTATTCCATGCACTATTGGAAACTTTACTTTTGCGAAAACACTCTGTTATTTAGGTGCCAACATTAATCTTATGCCCCTGGTCATTTACAAAAGGTTGGGCATTGGGAGAGCTAGACCCACCTCTATGTTGTTGCAGCTGACTGACAAGACTGTGAAGCGTCCATTTGGGATCCTTGATGATGTACTTATTCAGGTGGGGAAATTCGTGTTCCCTGCAGATTTTGTGATATTGGATTGCAAAGTGGATGAAAAAATTCCTATCATCTTAGGAAGACCATTCTTGGCCACAGGGAGAGATCTTATTGATTGTGAGACCGGGGAACTTAAGATGAGGCTCAATGACGAAGAGATTATATTCAATGTGCAGAAATCTATGAGGCGACCATGTGAGTTCGCCAATTGCTCTCTTATTGATGTCGTGGATGTAATCGTACAATCTGATGATGAAGTGTTGACGGTTGAGGATCCCCTCGCTGCATGTTTGACGAATTTGGAGGAAGTGAATAGTGAGAACTTGGCGGAATGGGTGTTGGCACTGGAAGGTAGAGGGTCTTGGGAAAGAAATCTAGAGTTTGAGCCCCTACACTTAGAAAAGAGGGAGACTCCTCCAGCTAAGCCATCCATTGAAGAACCACCGAAGCTGGAACTAAAGCCATTGCCAGCCCACCTCAGGTATGAATTTCTGAGACCTGACTCCACTCTACCTATTATTATCTCATCTGGTTTGTTAGATGTGCAGGTCTAACAACTTCTACAGGTATTGAAGGAGTGCAAAACTGCCATTGGGTGGACCATGGCAGACATCAAGGGGATCAACCCCGCTTACTACATGCATAAGATTCTGCTGGAAGAGGGGTACAAACCTTCCAGGGAACATCAGAGGAGGCTGAACCCAAATATGAAGGAAGTGGTGAAGAAGAAGGTGATAAAGTGGTTAGATGCAGGAATTATTTTCCCAATCTCTGACAGCAGCTGGGTTAGCCCAGTTCAATGTGTGCCTAAGAAGGGTGGCATGACGGTTGTGAAGAATGACAACAATGAACTAATCTCAACGAGAACCGTCACAGGCTGGAGAATTTGCATGGATTATCGAAAGTTGAATCTAGCCACCCGGAAAGACCACTTCCCACTTCCCTTCATCGATCAGATGCTGGATAGATTGGCAGGGAGGTCACACTTTTGTTTTCTGGATGGGTACTCAGGGTACAATCACATTTCCATTGCACCTGAGGACCGAGAGAAAACCTCATTCACATGCCCTTATGACATTTATGCCTTTAGGAGGATTCCCTTTGGCCTATGCAATGCACCCGCCACATTCCAACGGTGGATGATGGCCATATTCACTGACATGGTTGAGGATATAATGGAGGTTTTCATGGATGACTTCTCAGTGGTGGTAAGTTCATTTGATGAGTGCCTGGTGAATCTGACGTGTGTACTGAAACGGTGCATCGAGACTAATCTGGTGCTGAACTAGGAAAAGTGCCATTTCATGGTATAAGAAGGCATAGTCTTGGGGCATCGGGTGTCAAGCAGGGGAATAGAAGTAGATCGAGAAAAGGTTGATGTAATAGAAAAGCTGCCTCCACCAACTTCGGTCAAAGTAATCAGAAGTTTTCTTGGACATGCCGGTTTCTACCGGCGGTTCATAAAAGACTTCTCCAAAATCACCAAACCTCTCTGTAAGTTATTAGAGAAAGATCACCCATTTGTATTTTCTGATTATTGCAGGGTAGCGTTTGAGGAGTTGAAGCAGAGGCTGGTCACAACACCCATCATTATTGCCCCCAACTGGGAGCAACCATTCGAACTAATGTGTGACGCTAGTGACTACGCAGTGGGGGCAGTGCTGGGCTAGCGGAAGGACAAATTGATGCACCCAATCTACTATGCTAGCAGAACGCTGAGTGGAGCCCAGTTGAACTATACAGTGACTGTAAAGGAGATGCTAGATGTGGTGTTCGCATTCGACAAGTTCCGATCCTACCTGATAGGATCAAAGGTAATCGTCTACACTGACCATGCTGCTCTCAGTTACTTAATAGAAAAGAAAGACTCTAAGTCACGCCTGATTCGTTGGGGATTGCTGCTGCAAGAGTTTGATCTTGAAATACGTGACCGCAATGGCACTGAGAATCAAGTCGCTGATCACCTATCACGACTTGAGGGAGCTGAAAATGCAATTGATGTTGAGGAAATTCTAGAAACTTTTCCAGACGAGCAACTGCTCGCCACCACTCATCAGGAAGCGCCATGGTATGCAGACTTGGCCAATTACCTGGCCAGTGGTATAGTTCCTCACGACCTTTCATCGGTCCAGAGGAAACAATTTTTTCATGAAAGCTGCTTGTACGATTGGGATGAGCCCTATCTCTTTCGAATATGCCTGGATAACATGATCCGGAGATGTATCTCTGAGATAGAACAATCTTCTATTTTGCAAGCTTGTCATGCATCGACTTATGGTGGACACTTTGGAGGGATCAGGACAGCAGCAAAGGTGCTAGAAGCCGGATTTTTCTGGCCGACTGTGTTTAAAGATGCTCACTCATGGGTGAAGGGTTGCAATGAATGTCAATGCACCGGGAACATTTCCCGGTGCCACGAGATGCCCATGAACCCAATTCAGGAGATAGAAGTGTTCGACGTCTGGGGGATTGATTTCATGGGTCCCTTCGTCAGCTCCTATAGCAATAAGTACATCCTTGTTGCTGTAGACTATGTGTCCAAGTGGGTGGAAGCTGTAGCGTTGCCCACCAATGATGCGAAAGTGGTGGTGGGGTTTCTAAAGAAGAACATATTCACCCACTTTGGGACACCACATGCGATTATCAGCGACGAGGGCACTCACTTCTGCAATAGAGCCTTCGAGAAGTTGGTTATAAAATATGTTGTGCGCCACAAGGTGGATACTCCATACCACCCACAGACTAGTGGACAGGTTGAGGTATCCAACAGGGAAATCAAGAGTGTGTTAATGAAAACTGTGAACGCCACAAGAACTGATTGGGCAAGGAAGCTAGATGATGCACTCTGGGCCTACAAAACAGCTTTAAAGACACCAATTGGTATGTCACCATACAAGTTAGTGTTTGGGAAGGCATGTCACCTACCTGTAGAACTTGAGCATAAAGCATGGTGGGCTCTGAAACAACTAAACTTAGACATGGAAGATGCGGGCACGTCAAGAGTCACAGAATTGCATGAGCTCGAGGAGTTCAGGTATCTTGCTTTTGAGAGCACAAGGTTGTACAAAGAGAGAATGAAGAGGTTACACGATCAGAACATTGTTGAGTGAAATTTCAAACCTAGGGACATGGTATTACTATACAACTCAAGACTGAGGTTGTTCCCGGGTAAGCTGAAGTCACGATGGTCTGGACCATTTCGAGTAGTTGAAGTTTTCCAGTCATGAGAGGTTGACGTTGCCACTGAGAATGACTCTCATACATTTAGAGTCAATGGTCAAATATTGAAGTTGTATGTGGGTATGAGCGAGCCCAAGGAAGGGTGTGAACTGCAGTTGACTGAACCACGGAGGTCGAGCGAGCCTTAACTGCACTCATCTGGGTCGTGCCGCGACATTAAATCAGGCACTGCATGGGAGGCAACCCATGAAATTGTTGTAAGTGTAACTCTTCTTAAAAAAAAGCGTCAGAATCAGAGATGGGCTCAGACCGCGGTTCCACCGCGTCCGCGGTCAAACCGCTGTCCTGACCCTTCTCTGAACCCAGGCCATCGCGGTTGCACCATGACCGCGGAAAAACCACGGTCAAGAGGGCCATCTGAACTTGGTCCACCGCGGTCCTACCGCGACCGCGGCAGAACCCCGGCAGACGCAGACGAGGTCCAGGTAAGTNTTGGTGGTGGGACCTTTTTGGCCGGAAATTTGGGGCTTGTGGTGCTATTTTGAGGCATTTTGTGCCTACCCTAGGTTGTGGTGGTATTGTATTTGGTGAATGGTGGTGTTATTTTTAACGTGACTCACTTGAGGGAGTAAGTGTGGGGTGTTGTATGCTTGTGGGGCCATTGTGGAGATTGTAACTTTGAACACATCACGAGTTGAGGGTTTGGCATAGTGTCTAAATGGAGTAAATGGGAGATATTATTTGGTGCCATCGGGTGGTGAAGTCTGAGTAACCATCCGGCTGGCACATGTAGGATATATTTGATGGTTCTTCTGTATTCTTTGCAGGTCATATGGCTCGTAAGAAGCAAAAGAGATCGGCAGGCACGTCCCAATAGCCTACTTATGATGCTTCTAGGTTCGAATCCGAAGTGGCAGAGGACGACTTTCATGCTAAGGCCTCAAAAAGCTTCATCCCTGAAATACCGATTGACAGGGCGGCCCTCCGTGCAGAAAAGGAGGAGATGTATGAGGAAATCCGGCGAAGAGAAATGGAGTTCTTATTTGATGAACCTGAAACGGTGAACAAGATGCTTGTACGGGAGTTCTACGCGAACTGCCCAGCTCATATGCTACGGGAGGTGACTGTGCGAGGCACATGGGTAGATGCCTCAGTGGAAACTATTCGACAGGTATTGCGGCTACCCCGATTTGCTGGTGATGTCGACTATTACCAGGACGCCCAGGTGTCACTTGGGATACTATGACTGATGTACTCTGTGCAGGGGGCAACCAATCTGGATACGTGACCACGTCACCCTGAACTCCAATTCGTTCACCCATTTGGCTAAGTGTTGGCTCACTGTCATTTGCAGCCGGTTCTTGCCCTCAGGCAATACGACTGATGTGAACTTCCAAAGAGCCCTTTTGACGTGGTGCTTCGTCACAAAGAAAGATTTTGATGCGACAAGGCTTATTGGTAACGAAATGATCATACAGTCCCCGCTGAGGTCAAAAGGATTCTACTTTCCCTCCCTGGTGACTACATTGTGCCTGCGGAAGAATGTCCCCACAAATCCTGCTGATGGAGACTTGCCCCCTAAAGCATCCTTCAAAGCTTCGAGCATCAGAGTGGGCAGGGGTGCACGCACCACTATTGAGATCGATGATGAGGATGATGACCCGGTTCTTATGGCACCATCCAGGAGATCCTATGATAGTGTCGGACCCTCTCGGCGCCCCCATGTTGGGGCTGGCTTATCCAGATCACAGTCCACCCATCCTATGTTGCGTTCTATGAAGGAAGAGGTCGCTAATCTTCGCATCTCGGTGGAAGGCCTACACACGCGTATGGATGCCATGTCTCAGCGGCAGGCCAGGTCTGAGAGCCGGTTCATGTCCTGGTTCCGTGCTTTGGGGAGAGCTTGTCATGTGGACCCCAGCACAGTCTCCGACTCTGATTGAGTCTTAGGGAAGTCTTCTTACCCTTCTGCTATTTACCTTCTTGATATGACATGGGGACATGCCATGACTTTAAGTGTGGGGTGGGAGGCTTGCTTTAGTGATATGTGTACTGTACATAGACATTGTGTGTGTTGTAGCATAAAATTGAGGTTGTTGTATACAATTGATTGTACTTATATGAGGAGTCTGACTTGGCCTAACGACGGACACTTGTCGGCGGGTCTCTTGAGGGTCCAAATTGGATATATATTAAAAAAAAGGTAGAAGACTCTTCCTGAGGATGGACCACTTGGACAAGTACTCTTGAGGGAAGTAGTCCATGAAGATTTTTTTTTCTTTTTCTTTTTATTTTATTTATTTTTTCCTTTTTAGGCAGTGTAGTAAGTCCCCCTTGGTTTTTCTTTTGGCCACAGTTCTTTTCCAAGGGTTTT